ATTTAAAATAATGTCAGAGATATCTTTCCATCTCTCTGTCATAAAATCAATTATTGATTTTATGACAGAGAGATGGAAAGATATCTCTGACATTATTGTAGGCAGATTTGAATTTGATTCTATGTGTTTTGAGTCTGGTGATACAATTAATGGTTTATGATAGGATATGAATAATTGAGTTGAGGCATAGACCATGTCACCATGTCAGTAGTCTCCTGTAAGAGAAGACATGCTTTAGGAATGATAGAGGTGGAAGGGTCTGATTGTTTTTCATAAGACTTAACTTTTTAGAAGATTCTTTCCCTTGACCACCAACAAAAAAGAAAAGAAAAAAGATATAAAAAGTATATACAAAAAATTGGAGTGGTCCTAATGGGAAATTGGATTGGGCTAGGAAAAAAAAAAAAAAAATCTGTTTAATCAGAGGAGAATTGCTCATAAATCTTGCAATCATGTACTACATTAGTAGTTTAAAATGCATATAAAAACATAGATAACTCATTAAATACTGAATAAAGGTTCAAGCTTAATATGATCAATTAAAAAAAAATTATTACAACATCTCCTTTAATGATCACTTTTTATTACTCTTTATTTGATAACCAATTTGCATATTACTCAAAATAGTAAGTAACTCTTAAAACACATGGATTATTCATATAAAACCCATATTTGGATCTGATATCACATACAAGAAAATTTGATTCCTACTCAATTATTCATATCTTACCTAAAATCATTAATTGTATCACTAGATTCAAAACACATGGAGTTTATGATAGAGAGATGGAAAGATATCAATGACATTATTGTAGGCAGATTTGAATTTGATTTCATGTGTATTGAGTTACAATTAATGGTTTAGATAAGATATGAATAATTGAGTTGAGGCATAGACCATGTCAGTAGTCTACTATAAAAAACACATAGAATCAAATTTAAATTTGCCTGCAATAATACAGAACGATTGGAGTGGTCCTAATGGGAAATTGGATTGGACTAGGAAAAATAAATAAATCTGTTTAATCAGAGGAGAATTGCTCAAAAATCTTGCAATCATGTACTACATTAGTAGTTTAAAATGCATATAAGAACATAGGTAACTCATTAAATACTAAATAAAGGTTCGAGCTCAATAAGATCAATTAAATAAAAATTATTGCAACATCTCCTTTAATAATCACTTTTTATTACTCTTTATTTGATAACCAATTTGAATATTACTCAAAATTGTAAGCAACTCTTAAAACACATGGATTCTTCATATAAAACCCATATTTGGCGTGATCTAATATCACATACAAGAAAATTTGATTCCTACTCAATTATTCGTATCCTCCCTAAAATCATTAATTGTATCATCTGACTCAAAACACATAGATTTTATGATAGAGAGATGAAAAGATGTCAATGACATTATTGTAAGTAGATTTAAATTTGATTCCATGTATTTTGAATTACAATTAATGGTTTTAGGTAGGATATGAATAATTAAGTTGAGGCATAGACCATGTCAGTAGTCTACTATAAAAAACACATGGAATCAAATTCAAATTTGCCTACAATAATACAGAAGATTGGAGTGGTCCTAATGGAAAATTGGATTGGGCTAGGAAAAAAAAATAAATCTGTTTAATCAGAGGAGAATTGCTCAAAAATCTTGCAATCATGTACTACATTAGTTGTTTAAAATGCATATAAGAACATAGATAACTCATTAAATACTGAATAAAGGTTCAAGCTCAATAAGATCAATTAAAGAAAAATTATTGCAACATCTCCTTTAATGATCACTTTTTATTACTCTTTATTTGATAACCAATTTATTACTCAAAATAGTAAGTAACTCTTAAAATAAAGTAAAATTTTAAGTGATATCACTTATCATCCAATGCTAAACATTAAAAAATAAAAAAATATATATAAAAAACTATTTATTTTCTATTATTTATACTAGAAATCACAAAATCCAAGAGAGCATTCTCTCCTCTCTCTCTCTCTATCATCATCACTCCAATGCAGAATCTTTACAGTCTATGCTATCTTTACGGTCCTATCCCTTGTGTGTTTCAATAATTACATTCCTGACATAAGTCTTAGTGGGTAATAGCTGTGGACAAAAATCCTATTGAATCGATAATGGACCGGGAAAATCAAACTGAAATGTTGATTTAGAAAAAAAAAAAAAACCTGAATTTAGGGCATTAATTTTCAAATAATATATATTTAACTTGAACATATGCACACCTGTCCTGGTCAGTCCATCCCCACAAGGTACTTATCCGATTTGGTGGCTTCGAAAAGCAGGAGGGGATTTGATGACCCTGATTCTCATTTTTAATTCTTCAAATAGTGATAGCAGTGGTGGTGTAGATGGAGGTGATGCTTCTTCAAGTGAAAACAACTCTCTGTCTCGTCCTCTTTTGACTCACCATACCAACTCTCTCTCTCTCTCAATTACTTAACGTACCAACTCTCTCTCTCTACCTTTTCTCTCTCCTATTTAACTCGGCTTGCCATCACAGTGTCCTGCGAAGTCTGATGGTTATCACTTCGTCTACAACAATGATGGCGTCTGCTCTTTTGCGTGTTGATTACTACATTGGAAGTGGAGCTTTGGGGCAAATATCACATGGGTCTAATTAGTTAGAGCATCTGGGGCGCTACCAATTGTAGAGAGAGAGTGTGTGTCAGTGTATAGAGAGAGGGGCGGTATGCATTGATTAGAGCAACCAGTGTGCTTGGCACACATTATCTATCTACTTAAAAGCAAAGTGGAGTGACACATGGCATATTTTAATAAAATATGATAACATGGCACTCTATTTTTTTGGTTCCATGGTGTGCAGCTCAGTGTTTGATTATCTACTTTACTATTTTAATTTGTTTTAATGAGGTTTAGAAATCAAAGTGAGAGAGAATGATGTGTGGGACCTCAAAAAGTAACAAATGGTTCTCTATTTGGTTCTCTGACTGCAGACAATCCCATGGATTACCCATTGTGGGGACCACAAAAAGTGCAGTCAATAATCAATGCATACTGCCCCTCTCTCTCTCCACACTGACACACTCTCTCTCTACACTGACACACTCTCTCTCTACAATTGGTAGCGCCCCAGATGCTCTTATTAATTGAACTTTTTGTGGTCCCCACAATGGGTTATCCATGGGATTGTCTGCAGTCAGAGAACCAAATAGAGAACCATTTGTTACTTTTTGTGGTCCCACACACCATTCTCTCTCACTTTGATTTCTAAACCTCATTAAAACAAATTAAAATAGTAAAGTAGATAATCAAACACTGAGCTGCACACCATGGAACCAAAAAAATAGAGTGCCATTTATCATATTTTATTAAAATATGCCATGTGTCACTCCACTTTGCTTTAAGTAGATAGATAATGTGTGCCAAGCACACTGGTTGCTCTTACGTGTATTTGGAATGCCTAGCAACACACCAACGTTAAATGGGCCCACTTTATCTCCACAAATCGATGGACCTCATTTTCGTAATGGACCTCCACGTGGCATCTAATTGTTTGCGTGGCAATTCGCTAGTGATTTCTTTTTAAGGAGTAGTACTCCCTCCGTCCCAATTTTAGTGTCCTTTAGTGTGAGTCACGGTTACCAAAGGCGACACTAAAATTGGGATGTGCTAAAATTGGGACGGAGGGAGTAAATAACATGGTTTTGTTTTTCTTAGGTTGCCCTTGGTTGGTGAGAGTTGGCGCTGACACCCACTTTACCCTTTCATTAATACGGAGTAATACTATTTTTTTTTTTTAAGAAAAGAAGCTTCATCAGAGCAAATATTGATAATGACAACTTAGGATATGAGCAGTTGATGCTTCTTCACCTTAGACAAAACTTAGTAATATCTTCGTAATGTATAAAGTTTAAACACACACACACACGTTTAAAAGTTGTGTATTGTGAGACTTAAAAATAATACTGTCTTTCGATATTTTTTATGAATTTATATTTATTATGATTTTGTATAAAGTGGCACTTACTTATGGTGGTCCAAACTCAATTACTTATAATATAGAGATAACACATATCACTTATGTTTGAATTTGTTGGATAATTCAGAATGTTAGAACACAACTAAACACAAAACAACGTGATTTTGATTTTTTTTTTTTTTGGTAATATGATTCAATCAGATTTTAAACATAACTTGATCATATTAGAGTTGTGTCAAACTAACAAAAATAAAAATAAAATAGCGTACAAGATATTATTACCATTTTCCTTGTTATGGATAGAGTTGACCAAGAATCTTTTGTATATTCATTGTTCACATATTTAATTATTTGGTTTCCTTTTTCTTGCACCGACCAATTTGTGAGGAGTTTTCTCCGAGAATGAAACACCAACGGTCAGATCAAATCTCAGACCACACAATTAAGAATCCGATATTTTTGGGACTAAATGTTTTATTTATTTATACTACTTTCTATGTATATAAGTATCTTTGCTAGGAAGTTTCGTTAGAGTGTAGTATCACATACAATCGAATATATTTGTACACCACCTTCTCTAATAGGATTATGGCATATCTACCATTCATCTCTTTGTGTACTTATTCTTTATTAATTAGCATTTTGTTTTTCTCTAAAAACAGACTGATTGTCGGATCAAATCTGAGCCACATTTGTACGGTTAGATTTCTTTGAAAGACCAAGTAAATATTGATATTAGAGAAGGAGGACGACGTCGTTTGATGAAGATTTGATCCATACACTTATTCAGTTTCCTTATATGCTTCTAACTAAAAAACAGTTTTCCATACATCTCATTGGGTTTTTGCCTATATAATAAGCATGCCCACCCCAAACCTCCTTCTCTATTCTCATTCTCAACTCTGAACTTGCCCTCACTACAAAAGGAATAATGGTAACCCCAACATTAATTACTTCATTTATGAATTTCATAGTAATAGAAATACATGTCCTACCGAGACAGAATTTTTAACTTGCTATCCTCTTGCCTAGCAGGCAAAGATTTACCTCCGTGGAAAGGATGATTCTTTCGGATCGACACGAGAGTCCAACTACATTGCATAGCCAGAATCCATGTTGTATATTTGGAAGAGGTTGACCTTGCGTCTCTCATGGTAGAATCCTCTTCCTGCCGAGCCCCCTTTCTCCTCGGTCCGCAGAGACAAAATGTAGGATTGGTGCTAACAGTTCATCACAGAAGAAAGGACTCACTAAGCCAGGATCACTAACTAATACTAATATAATACTAATCTAATAGAAAAGAACCTCTCTCTCTCTCTCTCTCTCTCTCTCTCTCTCTCTCTCTCTGTTCAAAACCCATAGAGAATGAAAAGTTGAAAACCTATTACCTATATCAAAATCCCCATATCATTTTCAGATTGTTCAAAAAATCAAAACCCATATCTTTCGGTTTCCATTGCCCGATGTTCCAACACTTGCAAGCTTCAGCTGCTTGCCCGCTGTCTCTCAACTCTCAAGCTTGCCCCCCTCTCTCTGTTCCTTTCCTTTCCTCCGTTTTGCATTGCACCAAACTGACCCTTACCGAACTCCCAATACGAGTCTTCTCTCTAGAACATCCAACAGACACCTCCTTTGTCTCTCTACAATCACTCTGTACTACACCGGAGGCCTCTCTCTCTACCATCACTCTTCCAGTCTTCCCTCATAGTCGCAAGATGCCTCCCTTTCTCTCTCCTTTCACTCTTCCCTCAAGCTCATCAGATCGTCCAGGTTTGTTTCTTTAGGTACTGAGATTTTATTATTAATTTTTTTTTTTCTTTTTGTTCACTGAGATTTTTTTTTTTTCCTTTTTCTGTCTCTGTGTTTTTTACAGCTCGATCATATGCATCAGATCTATTCTCTTCTAGGGTAAACTTTGGGGGATGAAGATTGGGAGAAAATACAATTAAAGTTACTCTCGCTCTAGGTTATGAACTTACTCTCGCTCCATTCTCAATCAACTGATCACATCACTTTCTCTCACTCCATGTGAAAAAATTTCAATTTGAGAGCTTATTTTCCATTTTCAATCCAGAGTTTCTATTGTAATTCAAAGAGAAATCCAAACCAAATTGTTGAGTTCATTAATCAGTCTATCCACTTGCAGGTAAATTCCATCACTATTGCTTGTTTTTGTTGGATTTCATGCTTTAATTGGGGATTTATGTTAATATTATTAGAAACCCAGACCCTAGCTTTCTAAGAGTTTGAAGCTGATTTTACAACTCTGCTTCAAATTTTATCTATCTTGAGAATTTTGTTGAAATCTCTTTCCTTCTCCTTTTCTGTCGAACCAAATGAATGTAACAGTCCAAAGTTTTAACTTCTTTTTTCTCTGTTCATTTTCCTCATAGAACTTAGGTTTGATCGCAAATATCTCTGAATAATTACTTCAAGCAAGTTCAGTTACAGATCTCTCTCTCTAATAATATGAACAACACTAGTTTACTCACAAATTCATTGAATTGTCATAACATTTCACCTCATTAGGGTTGATAGTTTACTTTGGTATTTGTGAGTTGTAAGTGATTGGGTTTATGAAGGAGGTCACAAGTTTCGTCTTGGTCAGCTGACTTTGATATTGGTATTTTCTAGTTTTTAATCGATCTAAACAGGAAACTTGCAGAATACAATAATATTGGTATTAATTAAATAGTACTTGCTGAGGTTTTTTGAGTTTAACTTGGATCAAATATTCGTATGGAGTAAATTTGAAAATAAGAGAATGAATAGGTGGTTCTAGTCACCAAATTGGTATTTTTCTTGCTTTGGGTTAAGATATTGCCTGATCTTTTTTTTTTGGTTGGACTGGAAGTCTATTCTCAGCGTGTAGACTATTGAATAGTAAAGATACTGCCCAAGAGTATATCTTGACCGGGGTTGGCTTGCATTTGCATTTTGACTAGGTGGTTCTAGTCACCAAATTGTCTTTGTATTTGTCTTAAAATTACCATTACTAAATGCATTATATGCTATTGTAGAAAATTGGAAATAAACTAGTAGTGAATAAGTAAAAAGTGTACCAAAAAAAAAAAAAATTTAAAAAAAGAATTAAAAAGTGTCCTGTTGATTTTTATTTAATTATATGCTATTGTAGATCATGCTTTGAGCACAACTCGAGCGTTTGGAAATGGCCTAGTGAATTCAGTGTCACAGTGACTGATTAATGTTTAGGCAACATAGGGGATCATCTGCACTCATTTGAAACATCATTAATACTACTCTTCATTTTCATTTCACTTAGTTTTCATGCACAATTAGCAAAACCCTTTCAAGGTCTATATCTCTCAGGTCTAATCTAATTAGATATTTGATAGTAATTGGTATAATTTAAAACTAACAGTAATGTGTAGAGAAAAATCAACTCCTAACCTTTAGGCGGTCTAACACTACCAAGATTTCATGAAGGTATATCTTCTTTATATCTTATGTACTGTAGTTGAATTTGTGGTATTGGCTGCCATCGCTAGAGAATTTCTGTATGACACACATGTATAATTCTTCCTGTATGACAATAAAGAAGTAAAATAAAGGTGAGTGTCTTTTAACAATATGGGATGTTTGATGTGTCCATTGCATCATGTAATTTTGTAGGCTGTTCTAAAACTGAACGAAGCAAAGAAGCTTGAATCAACTGAACAGGAGGTGTTGGTCGTTTAGGTATGGGGTTGAGTGAAGAGAGGCATCATCATAGTCGTCGTGATCACAGCCTTGTGCCTCTAGCTGCATTGATCCGTAGAGAAATGAAAAATGAGAAGATGGAGAAGCCGACAGTGAGATATAGGAATGCAGCTCAGTCTAGGAAAGGGGAGGATTATTTTATGATGAAGACGGATTGCCAGAGAATTCCCGGAAATCCATCATCTGCATATTCTGTATTTGCGGTATGTAGTCTCAATATTGCTCATCTTCTGTTGAATCCACAGTGCAATGAGTTAGGAACATGCATTAGAATTTTCTCTCTATCTCTTGTTCAATTCCCTGTCTTAATTTCATTGAAAGTCGATTTACTTCTGATTGGAAGAGGTGCTTAGCCTATGGACAAATGATTCAACTATGTTGCAGGTTCTGTTAGTAAATTAAATCTATGTGCTTCCAAATTCGTTGATTGTTTCGGGCAAATTATTCTTTGCAAAGGGAATACAGGCAAGCATGTCCATGGTCTCTTAATAATTTTCTTTCTTATTTTGTCAATTTTTTAGAAAGTATTTATTGTTGAATATTGTTTCTAGAGTTTACCATGAATATCTTTTATTCCAGATCATAAGGTGTACCTGTATACCCTAGTGGTAAATTCTGGTATCGCTTTTATTGTCATATATAATATGACAGTTGCTTATTAATTTTCAATTTTCAGATCTTCGATGGACACAAAGGGAATGCTGCAGCGATTTTTTCCAGGGATAATTTGTTGAACCATGTCTTGAATGCTATTCCTCATGGGCTTGGGAGGGACGAATGGCTTCAAGCTTTGCCTTGGGCACTGGTTGCTGGATTTGTGAAAACTGACAAGGAGTTCCAGAGTAGAGGCATGAAATTTGGCACTTCTTCCATATTTGCTTTTCTTCCACTGATTTCAATCATAAATTGCGTATTGAGATAATCTAATACCTTTTTATCATCTTTATTTTTTTTCCTCTAGGAGTAACTTCAGGAACCAGAGTCACGTTTGTAATAGTTGATGGATGGACTGTAACAGTTGCATGTGTTGGAGACTCCCGCTGCATTTTAGATACCCAGGATGGTGCCGTCTCTGTTTTGACTGTTGATCACAGACTTGAAGAAAACGTGGAGGAGTAGGTGCTTGAGTTGCAGTCCTTATCCTTTCTTTCTTTCTCTGGATGGGAGAGGCTAATCTTTTTTTGCTGTTACTGCAGGAGGGAACATGTAACTGCCAGTGGTGGCGAAGTTGGGAGGCTTAGCATTTGTGGCGGTGCTGAGGTGAGGTGATTAAATTTCTAAAATCTTATGTTCTGATGGTGCATGCAGTAATCTTCATCAGCTTATACAGCTTGATATCAAACTCCAATTATCTTTTCAAATTTTTTTCTTCTGACGTTTTACAGAGAGTACATTCATTATTTTGCCTCTTTGATTGTGAAGTTCAAGCTTTTGGGATGGATATATCTGGCCCTGTCATTACATAAGCCCTAACATCTTTAATTGATATAACAGCTTTCAAATGCTCTGGTGGAAGGCTTATAATTGCCTCTGATGGCATCTGGGACACATTAACCTCCGAGATGGCTGCAAAATCATGCTGTGGGTTGCCTGCTGAACTTGCTTCTAGGCAAGTAGTGAAGGTAATTTGAACTCATTGAATAGCAATGTGTCCTTGCTGGTTCAGTATCCATGAGCCTTCTGACATAAATCAAAAACAAACTTACTATCAGATCAAATCTAAACCACATTTGTATGGTTAGATTTCTTTGAGTAAATATCGATATAGAGAAGGAAGACGACCTCGTTTGATGAAGATTTGATACATATCGGATCAAATCTAAGCCACATTTGTACGGTTAGATTTCTTTGAGTAAATATCGATATAGAGAAGGAAGACGACCTCGTTTGGTGAAGATTTGGTACTTACACTTATTCAGTTTCCTTATATGCCCCTAACTACGAAACAGTTTTCCATACAAGTCATTGGGTTTTTGCCTATATAATAAGCATGCCCACCCTAATCACGTCCATCTCTATTATCGTTCTCAACTCTGAACTTGCCTCTCTCTCTGCAACTGCAAACTACAAAATCTACAAGAATCAGAAGTTCAAAACCCATATATTTCAGTTTAGTCTGCAAGAATCAAAAGTTGAAAACCTATTACCTATATCAAAACCCATATCATTTCAGATTCTTCAAAACCCACATCTTTCAGCTTCCATCACCCCGCTGTTCTAGTTCGGGTTCGCCCTTCGCAAGCTTCACCCGCTGTCTCTCAACTTTCAAGCTTGTCCCTCTCTCTCTGTCCAACTGCTAACTTGTATGTATGGGTTTTGTTTTTAATTTTTTTCTAAATCAACTAACCAAGCTCTGTAATTCTTGTTTTGCAAACTAAATCCTATTTGGTGAAATTTTTTATCATCTTTTTTAAATATATATATTTTTTACAATATAAAAAAAAAAAAAAAATCATAACAAGAACTTTGACAAGCAAAAGTACTTAATATAGGGTGAAGCTCTAATTTTACTTGTTGAAAATTAAAATACTTACAAAAAGCATGCTTTTGAGTGAATTCCGTAGTGTTGGAAGGGGCTTGCCATGAACTACTTCACACTTTGCTTCCGCTAGTAGATTCTCAAATAGGATTAGTAAATTGGTCAAAAGAAGAGATGGGGTACTGAGTGGTGAATTGTTCGTAAATAAATTGGTAATTTTTTTTTATTAATTACCCAAATAGGATTTTCGATGCCTTAATCAGTCAATTGTCTAAAGAAACATTGTTAGTTTAACTAAAATTGAATTAAACAACTGTTGATTTTGGTTGATATATTTTGATTTAGCTCACCCCATTGAGAAATCTGGATCCGCCTTGTTTAAGTAATATTATAAGATTGAATTTTGGTTGAAGTAAAATTATTGAATTTGAGTTATAAATAATATATGAAATATTATGAATATATATATATATGCTCGCTTGAAGAATTGAATTTTTTATTATTTTAAGTTTTAATTGAAGTAATATTAAGAAATTGAGTTTTGGTTCAATTAAAATTGTAGAATTTGAGTTTTAGATATCTATGAAACATTGAAAGAAAGATCACACACACACACACACACACACACACACACACACGCACGAGTAAATAAAGTAAAGGAAAGAATTGGAAAAAAAAAAAGTAAATGAATTTTTTTTTTCATATTAGGGTTATATGTTTTCTTCTTCTTTGTGAATAGGGTAATTTACACAAACTTCTCCTATGGTTTGTCATAATTACAGGGACCTCCCCTCCTGTTTCGGAAATTACGCGAACCTCCCTAAGAATGAAAATAATCTACACGGACCTCCCTTCTGTTAGAGTCAACGCCAGTCACGACGGAAATTGCTGACGTCATGTACAAATTTTACTAAAACTTCCATAATATCCCTGTCCCTACCAATTGATATATATATATATATATATATATATTTATATTTATATATGTGCTAGCACCATGATCTTCAACTTATTTAAGACATTCTTTGGTTTCCCTCACCATGAGATCCAATTGAAAAAGTTTAGTCGGCAGTAGTTATTCATGGGGTATCCATTGATGATGGTCTGGTAGCAGTTAGTCATGGGGAGACCTTACCACCGAAACAGAAAAAGAGAAGAAAGAAACTGACTCACCGAACCATTAAACTGGTAGCAGTTATTCATGGGAGACCCAGAACACGGCGAATTCGAGGCAACAAGAAAGAAGTTCAAGCGTGTCATGATCAGTTGATTTCAGTCCAGCGAAGTGGTCGGAAATGCAATCCAACTCTAAATAAACCCAATTTCACGAAAGATCCACTTAAAAAATGTTAATGAAAAATCCACTTAAACTCTTTGTGGGTCTGTCTGTTTATGGATTATCGATCTTCATTTGGTATATATATATATATATATATATATATATATCAATTTCAAATTTGATGGGTGTGGACCGTGTGGTTAAGGACACTCGTGCAGCGGCGTGATCTTGCGATGGTTGCGAGAGGGGCTGATTGGAATTGTTTGAGCAATTCACGTAATTGTTGACCTCTTGCCAATTGATTCTAAGTGGCTTTATCAAGATCAGAAGCGAATTGTGCAGAGATCATCCCCAATGAAATTTGTGGCGACAAGAGGGTTGGGTTTGGTTTAGCAAATAATCTTCATCGTGGGATTGATCTTGCAGCGACGACGATTGGCGACGAGGTGAATCAAAATACCGCCGGCGATAACAGGGACAAGCTTAAGCTTGCAGAGGTGAATCAAAAGATGCCGGCGATGAGTTTTCCGTCTTTTAGGAAAGTACATTAATTGAAAAGAAAAAATATGTTTATATGACGTCACACATATGTAAAAAGCTTATGGGTAGTTTAGCAATTTCAGATGCTAATGTGAGGTTATTTTAGTAATTTAGATAGGTCTGTTAGTGTATTTAACGGTCCGTCACACATAAGGGAGGTCCGTGAAGATTATTTTCATTCTTAGGGGAGGTCCGCGTAATTTCCGAAATAAGAGGGGAGGTCCCTGTAATTATGGCAAACCATAGGGGAGGTTTGTGTAAATTACCCTTGTGAATATGATATATGAATTTAGAGGAGAGAGAGAAAAGAAATAATTAATATAAAGGAAAGAATAAAGATTATATATATATATATATATGTTTGTATATACTTGGGATGTAGGAAAATACGCACACAGTTTAATTAACACTACTTCCAAACCCAATTTTTTTGTTGTGTTATGTAAAATAGAGTAAGGTGCTGTTTGATAAAACTGAAAATTAAGTACGGAGAATTTCAAGTACTGAATTTTAAGCGCTGAAACTTTAAGCACTGAATATATTAATTTGAAAACCTGTTTGATAATGTTTTAATTTTAAGCACTGAATTCATTAAGATTATTTGTTATATACAAAAGCTGAAGTCTGAAAGTTGTACATATTATATTTTTGCCCTTATTATTCAAGTACTCATTAAAATTGTGAATGTCTCAAAAATGTTACATTAAACTAAACATATAAAATTTTAAACTCGAGAACTAAACAAGTCATTTGCAATTTGGTTACGTAAATTAACCATAAACACTTTATCGGAGTGCCTTTCTGTGGTGTGAATTTGGAAGGATGTCAAATTTTCAGCAATTTTAGGTGGAGTCTCAAATTGCAAATCCTCAGTCTCATACTGTTCAAAAAGTTCATCCGTGATGATAGTTTTTCGAAGGTAATTGTGAATAGCTGCACAAGCAATAACAATATTCCTTTGCACTTCAAATGTATAAGGTGCCATCCTTTTCGAGATTGGAAAACAGGCCTTTAATACTCCAAATGTTCGTTCAATCACATTCCTTGGCTTGGCATGTGCATGGTTAAATAGCTCTTCTTTTGTTCTAGGACGACCACCATTTTGAAAGTCGGCTAACCAATATCGTACATTACGATAAGGTACCATAAATCTTCGGATGTGTGTATGCAGCATCACACAAATAATATTTATCTACAATGTAATATGTTTAAAATGGTGTTAACAATATTAAATAAAATACGTGAAATTGAATAGAATTTTGTTATATAAATAATTATTTTCTATATATCGTGAATCAATATGAATATGAATGGTAACAGTTTAAAATATAAATAATTACATAATATTTATGTAGGGTATAAAAATGGTGTTAACAATATTAAATAAAGTACGTGAAATTGAATAAAATTCTTATATAAATAATTATTTTCTATATATAGTGAATCAATATGAATGGTAATAGTTTAAAATATATTAGGTAGAATTATGTTTTTTATTTTTTTTGAATTTGTTCCATGTAATTCATTTTCATTAGCAACAATAAGCAACTAAATATATATGGATCAATTTAAATATAACCAAAAGGCTATTTGTCGTGTTTAAAATATTATAGGTAAAATATTTTTCATGAATTTGTTCTATCATGTAAAAGTAACAAAAACTAATAATAAAATACAACCAACGAAATATATATAGAAGAGTTTTTCAAAGGAGAGAACTCACCTTATTTTCAGACGCAGAAAGAAATCACAGAGAGGAGTCTAAAGAAATTGTAGAGAGACCCTAGAGAAATCACAGACAGAAACACTAAAAGAGAGAATGCGATTATATGAGGGTAGAGTAGTCATTAGAAATTTATTTTTTAAACCCAACCACTTACCGTATTTTACGATAAGCTATAAGCAACCTTTCCAACGGTTAAAATTTTTGCCTCTTTTAAGCGGTAATTACCATATTAAACGGTGTCTTAAAATTTTATCAAACACGTTTATTTTTAAAAATCACTTATCGTCTTTTGCATTCAGTGCTAAATTGGGAAATCAAACAGGCCTTAAGTAAAATTATTGGAAACAGAAGAATTGGTGGTAGATATAGATTTTAAATCAATGTGGATAAGGATAAGCTGTGAAGGACTTGTCAAGTGTGGGGTCCTCGATTTAAACTCAAATCTAAATTGAATAGATTCGCTGAGGGTGGGTTAAGTGTTGGTGTCCATGTGTCTCTTTTGATTACTCCATCTCATTTTAGATGCCTTTTTTGGAGAGTAGAACTTTTTAAGAGGACATGTAATTATTGCATTGTATCCTGCCAAAAGAGTATTTTATGAAAAGATGTAAAATATGTTGTTTAAACTTGGTAAGTGGACAAGAATTTTGGGACAACCCAAAAAAGAAAGATGGACAACTATTATGCAACGGAGAGAGTAATCATTATTGTCCTTTTCTCTTGTTCAATGTGGGGGTCCACAAGTAATGGGGTTATTGGGTCTTGTGGAATGTAGGACCCATACCTTTGATAATTTGGATCTGAAATCTTATCTACGAGAAATCCTGGATGTAAGAATTGGCAGTAGACATAGAATTCAAAATAAAGAAACATTGTTAGTTAACTAAAATTGAATTAAACAACAGTTGATTTTGGTTCATATATTTTGATTTAGTCCATCCCATTGAGAAATCTTAAATTTTTATTTTTTATTTTTTTTTTCACATAGAAATACAATATGTGTAATGCACAAAGGATATATTCAATCTTTCAGCCATATTTTGATTTTGAAATTTTGGTTTTTGATTTTCTTTTGTTATTAGAATGCAGAATATCATGATATTGATTTGTTAATTTTGAAGATTATTCCTAAACTGATGCATTGTACTTTGTTATTGGATTAATGGTGCATGTGTCGTGCCAATGCACCAAATTGCATGCAAAATATAGAGAAGTGTGGCCAAGTTTAAATTTATAGAATGTCATTACTGCTTCCAACTAAAAATATAATTAGAGTGAGTAGGGATCGTCCCAAGGGAAATGAGGTGTATTTGTGATTGGAAATTAATGTCGGATTAGTAGGTCGAGTGATCAAAGATGGTTGGTGATTGGTTAATGAAACTACAATGCAATTAAAATTAATGCAAGTAAATAGCAATCTAGAAAATAGAAAAAAGATAAAGGAGAGAGGTCTTAAGGCTTAGAGTCATCACTAAGCTTCACTTCATCAAACACTAGCAATTGTACATTAATGGAGAAATTTAAATTGCAACTTGTGTGCGTGTGACACTAATTGAAACTAAGCATGGATGGCAAATAAGTATAGATTGTCTAGCCAATTTTAATGAAAAGCACAACCTATCAAATGAGACCAATATCCATTCAATAAAATCACAATTTATGCACACACAAATATCTAGAGACATGCACTCTTTGCATTCACAAGTATGGAACATCAAGAAATAAGAATGGATTGTTCACCTACCTAAGGAATTGAAGCAATTACACTACAACTAGGCTAGAGACATGAAATTAAACTAATTAAACTAGAGATGTGATACAATCCATCAAGAAACAAGTGTGAACCATCAAATAAATCACAAGAGTGTTCCATTAAGCGCCATGCCTTGACCATCACTAGATTAATGTCATCAACACACATAGACATGCATCAATTTCATTAAATTTAGAGACAAAAACATGAACATCAATTCTAGCATACATAGACATATGATTAGAGTCAAATGATCAATTGAAAACATTAATCCATACAAATCAAGTAGAAATCACAAGATCTATATTTATTCATGGTCAAAACATCTATTACAACTAAAATCCCCAAAAATACACAAAAGCTAGGTTTGAGAAGCAAGCCATTTTGGAGAAGGATTTAGCCACTCATTGTAGTGGTCATGGAACCCTCAAGGGCTAGCTTGGAGGTTGGCATCATCATCTTTATCCTTGCTTTCTTCCAAAACCGTAGTTCTAGAGAGGAAAATTATTTTTCTATAATTGGTAATATCTATATATCTGTCTATGATGGTCTCCTACAATAGTGTTCAATAAATCAATTACATACTCCTTTGAGTAAGGACCAAGTCAGAATTACAGCCTATGATTGGAGGAAATTCGCAGCTACACAAGTTAGGTAGAAATCGGCGCGTTTGGGAATTAGACAGCTCACTGCCAGCAGACATTTCGATCGATCGAAGATTCTTGATCGATCGGACACTTAGCTTCGATCGATCGAAACTGACGTGGTTCGAAAATATCTTTCAGGCTTTATCCAATTGGCGGAGCTGGCACCGTCTCATTTCGATCGATTGTAGACTTCTTCGATTGATCAGGACTTCCCTTCGATCGATCGAAGTTCCACTGGTGCATTTTTCTTAGCTTCTTTCCAACTTTGCTCTTTAGCTCCAAAATGGCTCTTATTAGTCTGTTTGAACTTTATTAACCTGAAATAGGCAAAAACACAAATAAGTTTCTAAGACATGAAAGTAAGATAGATGAATGGACTAAAATACCCTAGCTTAGGTGCTAAAATGCGTCACATTTGAGCACTTATCAATTAATTTAACGTAAGAGCTGATTATAATATGTGTTAATCACACCTATCCGTAATCACACCTCTTTCTACGGTTAGGTGTCCAATATTTTTGACTGAAAGCATAGTTGGGTTGGGTTGATACATGATACAAATAGTACTTAGATGGTGGTGTTTTAATTGTTATGAGTGAGATTGTGAAACCACTTCCTCACAACTTGAGTGTTTTCTTATTTTTAGGTTTAGCATCGGGCCTTAACATTTAGCAATAATAAGGTTCAAGAAACATGCTTCCTTAGTTATCAGGTAACAAAACTTTACTTTTTCTAAAATTTTAATTGACATTTTTAGCTATTGGTTACGTTTATTTATTCATGTTTTACATACTGATTTTTTGTTTTTGTTTTTGTTTCTACCTATATATATATATATATATATATATAATATTGTTATGATGTGATGCTCGAACAATTTATTAATTGGAATTAAAGACTTGGAAGTTTAGTTTTCAATTTCAGAATATATGTTTTACATTTATTTACGCTTTTGAAACTTTTCCTCTTTTGTCCTAATAATATAGGTCTTTTTTTTCTGAAAGAAGAGAGTTGATTGGAATGGCTGGAGTAGGGTAAAAGAAAATAGGTATGTTTTTTTTGCCTAACTAATTGAGTTATATAAATTCCGTTACCGTTGTAGCAGTGATGTTGGTTTCAAAATGACCAATTATGATAGAAAGTCTCTTTTTAGTTTATCTTAATCAAATGTATATCTATGCAAGAGGATTACTTGATTCTAGATGAGGATGTTGATGTCAACGTTGACTCTAGTGATGACGACTGATGATGTTGATAATATGTTGATGCACTCAAATTAAGTCAAAGCACTTAGAATTGAATGAAATTTAGAGTTAAAGACATACTATTGAGCATAGTGTCTAATTCTTTTAGTTACAAGAATCTTAGGTCACTTCATACATGATTTTTCAGTTCTTGAAATTCTGAAATAATGGTGTGTAATATGATTCATCTACTTGGGCTCTTTTCTTTTTCATCTCTCTAAATCCTAATTTTATCTGTGAAAAAGAAAAAGAAGACTGCAATTTTAATTTAACTTTATCAGTTTGAGCATTGATAGAGCTTCTGAAATGTTGAAACTGAAACAACAAAGAAGAGAGAGTCCACCAATAAGAATTACCCAACTTAGGACGTCTTGACTAATATTGGCATGGGAGACTTATATAGATATGGACTTGTAGAGAGAAAGATATATGGTTAGGGGCACAAAAGTGTACGACAACTGTGAACCAACGGTAAGGTTGTGAGCTTTTGGCTTGTTTCATGCATCTGATCTAGAAAGTGTATAACGATGAAATGGAAAGCTCTGATGTATTCAAAGTTATAGACAGAGACAATAATTAATATTATATATTTATAACTTACTTTACTAATCTAATATGATATTACGTATATCATACATACATACATACATATATATATATATATACATACATACATATATATATGTTTGTAACTTTATACTTAGATAAATTTTGATTTAGCCCACCCCATTGAGAAATCCTGGTTCTGCCCTTGGCCGTCAGCCAGGAGAGAAGCTCCAATGTTGGAGCAATCATGAATCGGTGATAGTCGATGATAGACCACCGTAGAAGCTCTAATGTTGGAGCAAGACTTTCAAATGAATGGGTGATCTAATCAATGGGTTTCCGTGCAGGAAACATTCTTTCCAAAGGAGAGAATCAGAAAAGCCCGGTTAAGCTTAACCGCCCCTATTTTAGGAAGAACCCAAAATATTGGTGTGTGTATTGTCTAGGTATGATATTCAAATACGAAGGGAAAATGAAACACACAACAGAAAGCATCATCCTGGTTTGAAATGTGTCTGCTCCACATGTGGAAGCGTCTTCAAAACCTGACAGGAGATAATATATGAACACAAGCCCTAGCAATTCCAGCCCCCATAAGGTGTTTATCCGATTTGGTGGCTTCGAAGAGCAGGGAGGAATTTTCATCACCGTGATTTTTATTTTTGAAAATGGTATGACAAAAGATATGGTCCTGAGAAATGTTATCATATTTTGGTGATGCCCGAGTCCCACAAAGTGGTGGTGGTGGTGGTGGGGTTTCTTCAAGTGGTGATAGTGGTGGGGGTGGAGATGGAGGTGATGCTTCTTCAAGTGAAACAAGAGTGATGGAGGAGGAGGTGAAATTGAGTAGTGGTATGCAGGTAAGTTTTTAATTAATTTCAGAATTTTGTTTCAATGGGTGATGATTTATTCTTAATTTTTATTCAAAACTTATTCTTAATTTTCATTTAAAGTTTTGAAATGAAAATTAAGAATAAGTCACCACCCATTAAAACAATTCCATCCCCCACAAGGTGCTTATCCGATTTGGTGGCTTCGAAGAGTAGGGAGGAATTTTCACCACCGTGATTCTTATTTTGAAAAATGGTATGACAAAAGATATGGTCCTGAGAAAGGTTATCTTATTTATGGTGATGCCCGAGTCCCACAAAGTGATGGTGGTGGGGCTTCTTCAAGTATTGGTGGTGGTGGTGGTGGGGTTTCTTCAAGTAGTGATAGTGGTGGTGGTGGAGATGGAGGTAATGCTTCTTCAAGTGAAAACAAGAGTGATGGAAGAGGAGGTGAAATTGAGTTGTGGTATGCAGGTAAGTTTTTAATTAATTTCAGAATTTTGTTTCAATGGGTGGTCTTATTCTTAATTTTTATTTCAGAACTTATTCTTAATTTTCATTTAAAATTTTGAAGTAAAAATTAAGAATAAGTCATCACCCATTGAAACAATTCACTCCCCTACAAGGTGCTTATCTGATTTGGTGGCGTCAAAGAGCAGGGAGGAATTATCACCACCGTGATTCTTATTTTTAAAAATGGTATGACAGAAGATATGGTCCTGAGAAAGGTTATCATATTTTTGGTGATGCCCGAGTCCCACAAAGTGATGGTGGTGGGGGCTTCTTCAAGTATTGGTGGTGGTGGGGGGGTTTCTTCAAGTAGTGATAGTGGTGGTGGTGGAGATGGAGATGATGTTTTTTCAAGTGAAAACAAGAGTGATGGAGGAGGAGGTGAAATTGATTTGTGGTATGCAGGTAAGTTTTTAATTAATTTCATAATTTTGTTTCAATGGGTGGTGATTTATTTTTAATTTTCATTTAAAGTTTTGATCCATATCTTTCAAATGTCACAACTTGTAATCAATTGTTTCAATGGGTGACTTATTCTTTTCAGGTTTAGCTGAAGGTGGAGTTCTTTGATGGTTAAGTTCAGTTGAACAGATTTGGGACTTATTCTTTTCAGGTTTAGCTGAAGGTGGAGTTCTTTGATGGTTAAGGTACAGTTCTTTGGTGGAGTTCTTTCAAATGAATGCCTGATGTCTTATTGTCATATATTATAAGTTTGATTACTGCCATACACACTAGAATCTATTCTGTATGTGTGTGTATATATATATATATAAATATTATTTTTTAAAGAAACAATCTGAGGCCTAAAGTCCTAGCAAAATCCCTTACACTAATGCAAAAAATTATAATTATTATATATTTTTCTAAATATTATGATCTAATTTGACACGGTTAATATTAGCAAAGACAATTAATTTTCTTTATTACTATTTCTTCACCATTTTGTATTTATTTTAAAACCAAGATAGATGTGAGATGGTTCGTCTAAGTGCATGAATGTATATCTCACTTGAGTAAATAATATTTGTATTTTTTTTAACATATAATAAATATGTGTGGTTGGAGAAGTAAACTCTGAAAGATTGTGCAAGCTGGTCAGTAGGAATCCCTCTCTTTATCTTTCTCTGTGTGTGACAAATTGCAAGCTGTGATGTAACCTTTTTTACGGAAATGCATGACCTAGAATCCAGGTGGCAGTATATTTTGGACTGTGGAATGTGTGGGTATTCAATGTAAAAGTAACACACACAAATCGAGAGCATAACTTTGAATAAATTTGTTTTTGTAAAGCAAAGAAACTGTTTTATTTCATTTGTAATGTTGATGATAAGAAAGACTTCACTAGTTTAACATAGAGATTAATGAAACTCAATCCTGTTGAATCAACACAATAGCAAAAGAACACAAGATAGATTAAAAACCCAGAACTCAATATTAAGTTTTAATATCACCTTGATACACTACCAACTCAAGAAAAAAGAATTCAAATAAACCATCCTCATAATAATAATAATAATAATAATAATAACAATATACAACAATAATTAAAACAACCTCTAATATAGCAGAAAACAAAAGCTCTATTTATAAACTAGGTAAAAGAAGCTCCCTGAGCAGACAACCAAGGCATTTCCGGCCAAGCTCATACTCAAAACTCTACCCCAAAGCATTCAAGCCAGGTCTCCAACCAGCCAGATATGATCTTATTGTTGTACAAACTGTTTTTGGTGTTTTGCTTTGTTGTTTGCTTTGTTGTCCACTACCATAAATGCCATGCAATTTTAATACGCTCATCAATGTTTCAAAATCAAGAAAGGGTGCCAAAAGCAATTTTAAAAGATGGTCAAACATTTCCAGATGAGTGCACGTTTTATGGGTATAACAAAATAAGAGAAGCTTAAAAAACATTGGGTCAAAGTCAAACTAAAAGCATACAATTAGAGGGAAACAATTAGAATTAAGCTCAAAATATGGGCACATATGCAAAGAATTGAAAGATCAAACAAGGGAAAGTGAAGGAACAAGGAAAGAGGCGTCTATAGGCAGCGCTGGGTGCCATATAAGCGGCATAATTCATCCTTCGTCTCCCACTAGTCCAAGCAATTCTTTTCAGCAGTTTCTCTCTCTAGTATTCTTCAAGGAAGAACAGCTGGCTCTCTCTCTCTCTCTCTATATATATATATATATATGTATATACTGTCTGTAATTGATGATGTATTTTTTGAGAGGAAAATTTCCTTTCTTTTTCTGTGCCTTTAATCTTAGACTTGAGTTGATTTCCGAACAATGAACAAGGGCAATTGAGTTGATTTCTTTTAATTAATTAGACTTCTTCACCATATCTGATTGACTAAAAAGTCTAGAAGCAGCCATTCATTTATTTCTTTCTTTTTTGAAATTTTAAAAGATGCATTATATACTGTCCATCTTGATTTTTTTCTCCATCTTGATTTTTTTCTTTCTTTCTTGAAGCTTTTGGGAAAGCCAAAATTAAATTGAATGAACATGAAAGAGGGTAAATATAATTTGTGGATTTAGGTTAAAATTTTGAGTTTATTGATAATGTTATCATACTCTTGATCTTATCATTCATTTCTTTAATAAAAAATTGAACTTCATTGGATCAAAATATTGGATAGGACTCTTTCATATAAGCAGAGCATATTATGTAACTTAAGAAAAAAAAAACATGATATCAAATTATGTTTCTTTCATTTACACTTCATTATCAACTAGCATATTAGGCTTTAAGTATCATAGTCCTTAATGTAACAGGTAGGGGCTTGCCCATTACTCAAAAATTTAAGTTATTGGGTAGTGCTGTATATTCACACATTTATACCCATTTATTTTTTCATTCGGATCTGATTTGGGTAAGGGCGGATTCATGAAATTGTCAATGGGATGGGTTAATATTTTTTTGAGTGTGCTAATATTAGAAATACATTTTTTTTTAGTGTGCTAATACTTGAGCGGATCACGATTTAGTACCTAAAGCAAATGCGGAAAAACATGTAAAATAATTTTTTTTTTAAGCTTAGATGTCAAATTGTGATTGACCGGCCAATGGTCTTGGAATAATGCAATAATTTTTCATCCGGAGGTTCAGACCCATGCCTACATTTTCAACCACACCTAATATAGCAAATAGATTATATGAAAAGAGAAGATGAGAGAGAGCCCCAAAAAAATACACTAGAATCAACACAAAATAGCTTGAAATTCATATAGTTTTGTAAATTCTGTTTTCATCCTATTGTTTGGTATATCCCTAGTGGAAAATTCACTACCTCGCACCAGTTACATTATCTACCTTCCAGCCTCATTCCTCAAGAATCTTCAATTGCATGACAATGCTCTGCTAGTATTTTACCAAAGTTGTCTGCACAAAGGTTGAGAAACAATATTATTATCACAAACTGTAAAATTTTCCAAGTAAAAATGCTCTAATCATACTCAAGTTGAAGAACGATACCGGAAAAAGAATTCAAAATCACGTATCACAATTCGAAGAAGCCCATCCAATCATCCTCCTCTCGTTGTCATAAACCACCACCTTGTCTGACATAGAAATGTCTGTAAAACCAATACAGAGGTTTAACTCAAATCAACACTCTTTCATAGACAAAATGTATTTTGTTCTTTAGCATTTCTTACCTCCAATGATATTCGGATGTTCCAAATTTTCTTTTGTTCCATTCAGAATACCCAAGCACATATTGCCATCAGACTGCAAATCAAGAATTTGTCGAGTACGTGTCAAAGTTATGAATGAATAAAGCACATTGCTCGAAGTGGAAATGGTTTCGAGATGTTCTTACAGTGACGAGGAGACAACTTTCAGGTAGTAATTCAAAACGAGCATGTTTCGTAAACCTTAATACCAAGGGACTGAAGTGGTTTTTGACTGCTTCTATGGATACCTTTCCAGCAGTCTGGTAATTGCCCATTCTCAACTGTCTCTAACCCCTTTCTTTCAAACTCCATCATCATCTGATAATACCAGTTAGTTTTTCTAAAGATGGAAGAGGGATATGCTTTTTTCTCTTCTTTTTGGCTTTGTTTGGTTACATGGAAAAAACAAATTGAAATCTTTTTTGTGAACGTTTTAAAGAGTTTGGATAGCAGGAAAAAGGAAAATTTAGAAAAATCATTGTATTTTCTACAAATTCATTGTTGGGATCGTATGGAATTTGGATGGGCTGATTACAGAACAGGTACGGAGAGAGGTGAGAAAAAGCGTTTATAATGATTGGTGTGTCAAACAGTGAGTCTTGTAATCATATCATCCCCTTAATGGTTCATAATTCCTCGTTATTAAAAAAATCTACCTTATTAAAGGCATTCTCAAACCTAAAAACACAATATTATTGGCATAATTCGTCTATTTTAAATTGGATTTGCATAGTTTAATTTTGTTTAGTGTAATAGCAAAAATAAATGGATTAACAAACTTTCTAATTACCTAATAAAAAAGATCAAATATTAAAGTGTATTGGTTCGCAAATTCTATCTCCTCAAAAAAAAAAAAATTTAATTAGCTTATGAATGTCCCAATTTGTTCTACCATAACACAAGAGTCCAGAGAGTAGATGATTCATCATGATTGATACAAAATCTAAAAGTAGTGGTACTGATTGAATAATTCTAGAAGTTTAGGGAGGTTTCTGGTAAATAAATTCTAGAACATACCGTCCTCTTTAGCAATTAACCGTCATTTAAGAACTCTCTAGAACTATCGAGATGTCACCTTATCACGCTATATAACCACTTGTCGTTCACAGATTCGGTACAACTTTCCTCTGATATACGTTATATTTGCTTTGCGAATCACTTACTTTCTCAGTCTCCAAACGCTCCAAAATGTCGCTGATTCCACACATTTTCGGCCGCCGATCGAACGTGTACGATCCATTTTCTCTCGAGGTCTGGGATCCCTTCCAGGGATGGCCATTCGACAACAATTCCCGGTCAATTTCCGATCTGTTCAGCTCCAACTTCCCCTCTGAGACGGCGTCGTTTGCTCACGCGAACATCGACTGGAAGGAGACTCCGACGGCTCACGTGTTCAAGGCGGATGTGCCGGGGCTGAAGAGGGAGGAGGTGAAGGTGGAGGTGGAGGACGACAAGATCCTCCACATCAGCGGCGAGAGGAACCGCGAGCAGGAGGAGAAGGGCGACACCTGGCACCGCGTGGAGCGGAGCAGCGGCCGGTTCATGCGGCGGTTCAGGCTGCCGGAAAACGCCAAAGTCGATCAGGTGAAGGCGGCGATGGAGAACGGTGTGCTCACCGTGACGGTTCCGAAAGTGGAGGCCAAGAAGACCGATGTCAAGTCCGTTGAAATTTCTGGTTGATTTATATCAGTTCGAGTGGGCATATGTTTGTTAGGGTTTGGTGTTTAAATTAATGGCTTGGAATATCTGAATTTTCGTTTGTATCTGTATATGCTTATGGCTTGAATATAATTAGGAAGTGGTAACTCTGTTTTTAACTTTATTTTGTGATTGATTGCTGTATTTTTCTTTACTAATTCTGAATTAATTTGATTCTAAATTCCTTATTTAAAGACTAATTGGGTGAGCTTCATGAATCTTTAGCCTTAAAACTGAAAGTGTTAATGTTAAGTCAATTAATCTGTTTAAAGACAGAAATTTTAAGAAAATTTGTTAGCATATGAAATATGTAGTTTTTTGTCCCCGTATGAAAATATGAAAATGTTTACGTATTTGGATCAAAATTTTTTTTGTAAGGAATGAAGGAGGACACGTTACTATTATTATCGTTTTTTCATTGTATTCTTACCCGGCAAAAAAAATTTATTATTTCCTTTCAATTTTCTTTTGCACTTCTTCCTTCCTTCTTAAGAAGTGGTTATATTGAACCAATTAAAACGACCAATAAGAGTGAGCCCTTTGAGTGCTGATGTGGAGTAGATCCAGGTGTGATAAAATTGCAGCAATTGTCAATGATGTGGGGGCCACCACACACAGAAAGAGCCTTTTTATTTATTAATTTTTTTTTTTTTTTTTTTCTAATGTTGAATACACAGAAATATTCTTGCAAATTCGCGGCATACAAAATTAATCCGTAAGAAATAATGAATAGACGTGCATAGAAAATAAGGACAAACTTTATTCAAGAGAAAGGTAATGAGAAAAAGATTCCTTCATTTTTTTATAAATTTTTATTCATTTAAATATGAATAAAAAAGGAGAGGAATGACTAGTGTAGTTTTTGTAAAAGTTTTAAATTAAATATTATTTTAAATTATAATTTTATCTTATATAAATTACAATATTAGATAGTGATGGTATAATAGTAAAAATAATTTATCTAACGTACACATTAGCTTATTCTATTATCTTCCATTCAACATAATAAGAAAAGAAGAAGAAAAGAAACAAACTCTTTCTAAAAAATATCTCATCCAATCATTATTTTCTCTCTTTCATTCAACTTTTTTCTTTCATATGGAACAAAGTATAAAACAAATTAAAATATATTATGAAGTTGGTTAAGTAGTAGACCATCTCTTATACAATCCTTCTGGTAATCTTTTTCAGGTATAAACTTTCATCATTTTTGTAGTCATAAATTCTTTCATTTTTGCTATTTTTGTTTCTTTTCTTCTCATCTAGAATTTATGACTACAAAAAATAAAACCTCTATATAATAATATTTAAAAAATATAAAATACTAATAAAATATTTATTTGAATGCATAAAATAATGGGTTTTGTGAACCTATCAATAACCAAACTCCATATTAAAAATTTAGAATGGTCTTTAAGTAGTTTTAGATTAGATTACTCCAAAGTACAATTTTTTTAAAAAAAACTTATTACAAACAAATTATTAGGAAATTAATTCTCCAAAGTTTTAACATAAAATAAATTTAGATTTAAACAAAGAATGTTGAAAAAATAAAAAAAAAGGGGGTGATCATAATTTGAATATTATAATTAACTTTGAGTTGAGATATTTCAATCCAAGTCCGCATCGTAAAAATAGTTATTCAATTCCGTAAAAAATTTAAATTGGACTCGAGTTGGCTGCTCAAATTGCACCCCTGCTATTTAGTCACTAGAAATGGGCTGATCTGTTGGCTAATTTGTTAGTGGGCTGGATACGTGAAAATTGGGAATGAAATGAAAATTTATGGTTCCTACATCAAAGGAGGTGGGTTTTGTTAGTTGGATAATGCATGTTTAGAGTACAATAATATTTTGTCATTGATTTGCTGATTAAATATGAAATGTCAATTTATTATTGATTTAAGTATGTTGTAAATTTACATTAGTGAAACCTAAGTATTATCTTTTTTAATAAAATTATATAAAATATTCGACATCCTATTGAACAATATTCAATAATGGATACAAAGCTGAACAATATGGATGATTTGGAAGTTTTTGAAAAATAAAAAAATAAAAAAAAAATACCAACTAATATGACCCTTAAAGTACTACAAGATATAATCCGAAAAATATAGGTAAAGTTACAATACAATAATCAATACTCAAGTAGTATCTCATTGTTAAAAAAAATTGAGTAAAGAAAAATTCAAAATATAAAATACTGAAGAAGAAAAAAAACAAGTTAATGCACATACATAATACGTGTGCAAAAAATAATTTTAAGAAGACAGAGAGAAAAAAAAAAAAAAAAAAAAAAAAAAAAAAAAAAAAAAAAAGAAGAACATGAACAAAATAGAAGGAAAAGAAAAAAAGTGAGAACTTTGAACATATTGACAATATTTTTTCAGGTTAATTTCAATGACACGTTAGATTTTGACAAATTTCACACAGAAATCCCTTCCGAAATATAAATTACCCAAATCACTTTTTAGTCACCTTTATATATATATATATATGTCTAACTGCAAGTCTGCAATACATTTTAAAACCAAAGAAAACAGAAACAAGCTAAGCTAGAAGAGGGGCGCGGCTTGATCAGTGGTGAAATCCATCGATCGATCAGATTGCTTAAAATTAATTAATATGAGTTGTTATGAGCAGTGGAAGCCTGTTTTGGCAATGGTGGGTGTTGATTTTGGTTTGGCAGTTGTCAACATACTTCTTAAGAAGGTCCTTAAGCAAGGAATAAACCAGTTGGTAATCGTCACATACAGACAATCTATTTCTGCTATTTTCTTGATCCCTGTTGCATACTTTATGGAAAGGTGCGTACTCGATCATGTTCCTTTCCATCATTTTATGAAAATAACTACCTACACAACATTTTATTAATTTTTACCCCATATTAAAATGGCCGACCTCAGTTGTTAATACTACATATATATACCCTTTTTTATATTTAATATATATATATGTACCTCAGGATTAATCTTAGTTAATACATAACTTTCTGTTGGCTCCATGATTTTAGTATTTTACAGAATATATATATATATATACACACACACACACACACACAAATAGTAGGTTCTAGCTTCAAATTAAGAAGTATATATGTGTAGTGAATTTAATTAATTTGTTGCAGGAAAAGCAGGCCTAAGGCTTAATACACCTGATCTGCTTTCTTATCCGTATTTCTAATCCTGCCAACTAGTTATATGAATTATATGAATGCAAAACTTTTGATTGGTTGAATAACTTGAATTATATGAATATTAAAATAGATGTCATCAGCTGGAAGTTCTGGTAAAACTACAAAAAAAAATGCTCTGGGACAAAGATTAGATCCGGGATGGGAACATGGGGCTGAGGATGGGACTTCAAAAAAAGTGAAGTGTTGGTATTGCAACACTTCCCATTCTGGGGGTATTTATCGGCATAAACATCACTTGGCTGGCACTCATTTAAATGTTGAGCCGTGTCCATAAGTGCCCGAAGAAGTGAGAACACAATTTCAAAAAATTCTTCAAGCTTATTCAGAGGAAAGTCAAAAGAAGAAGAAACAAAACTTATATGATGTTGATATCGATGATGATGATAGTGAATGTATAGCCTTAGAACAATCAAAGAAGCGGAAGCAAGGTGGTGCAATGGATGGATTTGTAACAAAGAATTCGTCACGACAAACAACATTGAATGAGAAATTTAAAAAGGAAGAGAGAGATGCAGTATGTCAAATCATAGCCCGATTTTTTTATACCAGTGCTATACCATTCAATTGTGTGAACAATCCCATATTTCCTCTTATGATTAAAAGGATTGGAGAGTATGGGAGGGGGCTCAATCCTCCTTCTTATCATGAAATTAGAGAGACATTCTTGAAGAAGGAAGTGAGTGAAGCATTGAATATACTCGAGAATTTTAGAGGAGAATGGGTGAAGACTGGATGTACTATTATGTCACATGGGTGGTCTGACAGGAGGAGACGTTCAATATGTAATTTTCTTGTCAATAGCCCATCGGGAACTATCTTTTTGTCATCCCGAGATACTTCTGATATTTCAAAAACTGGTCAAATGGTTTTTGAAATGTTAGATGAGATTGTGGAAAAAGTTGGAGAAGAAAATGTTGTACAAGTTGTGACTGATAATGCTTTTAACTACAAATTGGCTGGAGAGATGTTGATGAAAAAGAGGAAAAAATTATTTTGGACACCTTGTGCCGCTCATTGCATTGATTTGATGTTGGAGGATTTTGAGAAAAAAATTGAGATGCATAGTGAGACAATTGAAGATGGAAGGATGATTGTTTCATACATTTATTCAAGGTGTATGCTTAACCATTGGATGAAGGAATTCACAAATGGCAAGGAGCTTATTAGACCTGCAGTGACGCGATTTGCCACTTCTTACTTAACTTTGCAGTGTCTTAATCAACTAAAAGGAGAATTGATGAATCTTTTTACATCCTCTAAGTGGAAGTCTAGTAAGTTTGCAAGGACACGTAAAGGGAAAAGAGTTGAAGGCGTGGCTTTAGACAATCGTAACTTCTGGACAAATGTTGCCAATTGTCTAAGAGCTGCAATACCTCTTGTTAAAGTACTCCGATTGGTGGATTCTGATGAGAGACCGGCTATGGGATTCATTTATGGAGCAATGGATCGTGCCAAGGAGGAAATTAAGAAAAACTTCAATGGCATCAAAAAGTGGTAAAGTTTTAATTTATTTAAAAACTAAAAGAGTAATAGAGTTTTTTATTGTTTAGAATATAGTATTGTTTGTAAATAGTTAAACTGAAAATTATTAGACTTACATTAAATTAACGATTTTGTAGGTATGAACCTATTTGTACGATCATTGATGCAAGATGGGCATCTCAACTTCATCAACCCTTGCATGCGGCAACATATTTTCTGAATCCCCAATTCCAATATAGTCCAAGTTTCCATTTAGATGCAGATGTGAAAATAGGAGTTTATAAATGTCTCCAAAGAATGGTTCCTGATTCTAATGAGAGAGTAAAAATTGATTGCCAAATGGACACATTCAAAGCTGCAAGAGGGCTCTTTGGCCTAGATAATGCAATATTGACAAGGAACAAGAAGTCTCCAGTTTAGAAAATGCAATATTGATATTTGATAATTTATTATATTTCGTAATTCAAATGTCAATTGAAAATTGAATAGTTTTAACTTTAATGTTATAATTTTTTTAATATAATAGCTGAATGGTGGGATTCATATGGTGATGAGTGCCCCGAGTTGAAGCGGTTTGCAATTAGAATATTGAGTTTAACATGTAGCTCTTCGGGATGTGAAAGGAATTGGAATGCCTTTGAGATGGTAAATTACTGAATAATGCATAGTTTTAAAATTTTAATAATGTTGTTGTTTAATTTTAAGTTTTAACCTCATTGGTAATATATTTAGGTGCATTCAAAAAGGAGAAACCGGTTGCAACAAAAGAAAATGAATGATTTGGTATTTGTTATGTATAACATAAAATTGAGGGAGAGGAACTTGAAAAGACAAGCCGTCATAGAACCAATTATTTTTGAAGATGTCTCTTCCGATGATGAATGGATTACCGAAAAAGAGGATCCGGTTCTTCCAACAAAAACTAAATGGTTGAGGGTTCTTGATGACAAAGTTCAAGAAGATGATTCCGATGAAGAAGATGAAGTAGAAAGGATGACTAGGACACGTAAGAACTTAAATTTTAAACTTTTATTATAATATTGTATAAATTATTACATTATATTAATTTTTGTTCTTTCTTTATGCTTTGTAGTTGAGGAAATTTATGCAATTGATGATAATAAAGATTTGCAGCCATTAAATCCTATTGATGAAGCTAATGAGGAAGATGGTGCAGGGTTCAATGATGACTTTATGGATATGTAATTTTAGTTTCTAACTTTGGAGAGGGATGAGTTAGGATTTGAGATTTATGGACTATTTTATTTTGTGTTACATCCTCTTTTATTTATATTCAGACTTTGGAATATTTTCTTTTACTTTTATTTATATTCGGACTTTAGAATATTGTTAGGATTTGAGATTTGAAGTCATTGATATGTAATATGGTGTGTTTTGGCCTTATTTTGGTTATATTTTACATATCTTATTGTTTAGGAAGTTAGTTTCAATTATTTTTTCACAATTTGGTAGGATCTTACGATTCACGATCCGATTCTACGATTCCGATTCTACGGAGCCCAAAACGATTCTACATAGAATCCCGATTTTAACAACCTTGGTTGATACCAAAGATAGCCATGGATGGTGATCACGAAGCTTTCGGGTTTGACTTGGGGTTCCTCTTAGTTCAATTGGGTTTGTCATGGGTGCGATTGGGTTTGCTGTGGGTCCGATTGGTTGGTGTAATGGTGGTAGAAGTGGTGGTGGTGGTGATATATATATATATCTCTGTATAAGACCAGCCATTGTGGGTTTGTTTGGCAGTGATGGTGGCTGCCGGTGGAGTGATGGTGGCTGCCGGTGGAGTGGTGGTGGCCTCTTTTTTAAATATATTAATTTAGTATTATGAAAAAACCTACTTAAGGGGTAGTTTGGTTCACTCACGCATGGTTTTTTTTGTTATTTCATAACATTATAAGGGCAATATGGTCTTTTAAACTTAGTTGATGGGTATTTTAGTCACTTCAACCAAATTTTATGACAAAAATGAATGAATTTTGTACAAAGGGAGGTCTTTACAAAAAATAGCAAACTTCAAGGGAACACATTGCAAAAAAAATGGCAAACCTCATGTTTAGTTGCAATTAATCCAAACCTTAAGAGAGGTCAATGTAGTTTGCCCAAAATATTTTGTCTAAAACACACGAAAGCATTCGAATTTACTTTGTAATCAACCATAATCAATACAAAATAAATACAAGTAGCAATGATGCAAATACTGAGAATATAACTCCCTAACTATTAATTACATAACTACCCAAAATGTCGGTCTTTGGATCCCAAAGTATCCGTCGTACAAATCAAAATAATTATTAATGAATAAAATAGTGTATACTTCTCTTATATTTGAGAGTCATAAGCCATGGCAGTGATAGAGAACAATTGTATACGATGGCTTTCACAATATATCTCAACCTATCCTGAACTCGGTTCAAGTCTTAGTTAATTAAATATCCATCCATAATTACCGATTTTGAACCATTTATGATTAATATTTATAACCTTATATTAATTTCCATTACATACATATATAAATATATATTCTAATCAAGTAGACTCAATCAATTCCATAATAAATCGAAAAAATAATACATTACATTTACCAATTGTATAAGGCCTAAATAATAATATTTAAATAAGGAGCAGTGACTTTTACAGTCCAAACAAAAATTTGCTATGCTAGAACACACAAATTCCAACACATAGAATGAGTTAACCGCAACAAGTGTGTTGTGACTTGCGAATTTAAATAGTAGAGAATGTCATTAATTCTTATCCCATATCAGTTCTGAATGTGGAGGGCCTTGATAATTCAAAGGTCATTAGGGATTTTCCACTTGAGGGGATGCTGAAAGAAAAGTGGAGATAGATTAATCGTGCAAATAATCAAGTAACATTTATGAGTGTAATGATGAACAGATACAGATAAAGTAACATTTTGACATTATTTTGTTCTAAATAATTATTTTCGTATTCATACTTGTATTCTTAAGTTTTTTTTTTTTTTTGGATGGTAAAGCAAACAAACACACACTTTTTTGCCCACGCTGGGGCTCGAACCCTTCCCCTCTTCTTTAAAGATGGGGAGGTTATACCATTAGGCCAAATGCCCTTTGGTCTTGTATTCTTACGTTTGTAAGCTTTTAACGTAATGCTAATGGACTCAGTTTCTCACCTATGTCACATGATCATCTATTTTAATACGTTAATTTTATATCGCTTAAGTAACAACTTTACATAGTTGATTCAAGTAGAAATATAGTCAGTGTTTGATTTCAAACAACTCCTTCCATTTCAAAATCCATACATATAAGACTCAAATTATGACTAATGCTCCGTTTGATAGGAAAGGATAAAATTGGATGGAAGGGAAAGAATAAGAAATGTATGAAATATCCTAGGGGAGAGATAGTATCTTTCTTTCTTTTTGTTCGGTTAGATGAAAAAGAAGAGAATAAGCTAATCATTTACTATGTTAGTAAGAGAAAGAAATATAAAGTTCAATTTTTTTTCTTTTTTTTTAACAATTATGTCCAGTAATATTTATAATGAAAAAAGTTATACTTCACGAATTTGGATTTTATATCAAATTAGGTAGTTGCTTATTTGGTTACTTCTGTATATTTTAAAAGCAATTTTTTAATATATGAAATATCTTAATATAAGAAAAATATAAAAAATTATCGTTATATAATTTAAACCCTAATATACCTCAATAGGTATAATTAAATTCAAATTATCGAGTTATATTAGGGTTTGAATTTTATAATGATAAGTTTTTAAAAATTTCTCTCTTTCTTATATTAAGATCTTTTGTATATTAAAAAATGCTTTTAATAAAAAAAAACTCTTTCAAGTTATAAGAAATATAGGATAGTATAAGAAATAGATGTGCAAAGATTGAGAGAAAAATTGAAAAACTTATCGTAATAGAAGATAGTATTGTAACTTAAAATTTGTATAATTTAGGATAATATTTTATTTAAAGTTTTTATAATAGTCCACTTGTCTTCCCTTGGGTCTTCCACTCATTAAAATTCGTAAAGAATGAATGATGACACCTCCCTCCAGTTATCTTTTCTTTCATTGGATTATCTATACCGAATAAAGCAGGGGCAGAGCTAGGATTCTAAAATAGGGAGGGCTAATGATAAAAATAAAATTAAAAATGAACACAAAAATTCTTATGACAAATATATGTTATATATATTCAAAAAAAAAAAAAAAAAAAAAAAAAAAAAAACGATGATGTTCTTATATATTAAATCAAGTACATCATAGATGGATACAAAAACATATATAGCATTCTCTTAAGTAACCTACTGAAGATGAACCTAAGTTATTGAAGATGAACCCTCCGATCTTTAAGAGAGTCAAATTCATTAACTACTGAATCTATATCAATATCTTCAGCAAGTCTCTTTCAATATTGAGAATCATGCAATCTGCAAGAAATTCATCGGCCATCTTGTTGCGAAGTTTAGTTTTGACACGCTTCATTGCCGAAAAAGCTTGTTCTGTTGTTGCTGTAGAAACAGGAAGAGTCAATATGAGACAAATCAATCTATCAATTAGATAATAAGTTTCTCTCTTTCTTGTTTCAGCTAGCATTTTGCATAAATCAGAAATGGTGGACAAATTCTGAAAACTCGGATGATGGAGTATATCAATCTTATAATGCTCCAACTGGCTTCTCAAAGCATGTATCTCATCTTGAAAATCTTTAGGATAAAATTTCCCTGCAAGATCGCAAATATCATCAACTTTAAATGATTTATAAGCATCTTTAGGATCCAAATCTGTGCCAAGAATAAGGAGTTCCACTGTACTTTCAGAGAATCTCTGATTTAACTCCATCAATTGAAAATCTATAGCAGCATTGAAAATATCAACTTGATAGTGATGATTAAATGTAATACTATCGTTTTGTTGACAAGAACGACCTGTACCCACCATATAAGAAGCACTCATATCAGGTACTACAATGTCATTCTCTTTACAAAATGATTCCACATTTTGAAAGAAAGTATGCCACCTATTTTCTCTCAAATTTTGAAGGAGTGCATTCGTACTTGAAACAAGGTTCATAGCATTTACAATGTCTTGAGTTTTTCGTTGCAATGCTTGACAAAGTATATCAGTAATTCCCATCATCTCAAGCAACAAATGCAAGATAAATACAAATTCAAATGATAGCATTGCAAGATAAACACCTTTTGCTTCCCCACGTATAGAATTAGTTGGTCCATTCTTTGAAAGATTTTCAATAATTGTACGAGATGGACCAAATAAGTCTATCAAGCTACTAACAGAATCAAAATGAGAGCTCCATCGAGTGGCATCTACTCGTTGCGAAGTCTTAATCTGATTAGTTCATTTACCACTCTGAAATTCACCAGTAGCCAATTTATTAGCGGATAAAATCACTTGACTTGATTGTAACTCGCTATGACGCTTAGGAGAAGCACTGACAAGATTGACAATAGAATTCAACTTGGAAAAGAATAGCCATATATCTTGCACATCTTTGGATGCAGCAATTAATGCTAGTTGTAGTTGGTGAGCAAAACAGTGTACATAATATGCATATGGACATTCTTTAAGAAACAACGCTTGTAATCCATTCCATGCCCCACGCATATTGCTCGCTCCATCATACCCTTGGCCTCGCATGTTATCAATTTGGAGATCATAAAGAGCAAGGACATCTGATATTTCTTTTTAAGAGTTAAGGCAGTGGTGTCTTTAACGCCTACAACTCCAAAAAATCGTTGTCTAAGCAAACTATTCTTATCAACAAATCTCAATACAATGGCCATTTGCTCTGTATTAGACAAATCTTGTGCTTCATCAACCAAAATACAAAATTTTGCATCCCCAACTTCTTCACAAATCTTACGTTTCACCCTATTGCCAAGAATATGTAAAACCTCTTTTTGAACCATAGGCGAGAGGTAATTTACATTGTTTGGTGCATTCTCTAAGACAACTTCAGCAACTTTGTCATTTAACTTTGCTGAATGCTTTATGAATTCAATAAAGTTGCCACGATTCAAAGATTCAATGGATTCATCATGACCTCTAAATGCACATGTTTGGAATGCAAGCCACCGAACACTTTCAATTGTTGTCTTAAGGCGTAATCGATTCTTTTCCACCACATCTCTAGATGATACATTCAACACTCTGTCAATATGTTGTAAAGGATTCATTAAAGCATCTGAAGCTCTTACGGCACACAAGTGAAATGAATTAGGACCTCCCATATGTTGCAAAAGAGCACACCTAGATCCATCATTAACCCTTTTCCAACTATTAAACCCCTCGACAGTAAAAGCAGGACGGGATGGTGGATTAGTTTCAAAGAGAAAACATGGCAAACAATATACTTTATTTTTCGTAGGAGAATACTCAATCCAAGTGAATTTTTTATACCAACTACTTTGAAATCGACGAGATTGAGTTCTATCTTGAGTGGAAGGAAACACAGGGAGTTTTGGTTGATAAGGTCCCCTTAAGATATAATTTCGTCGAAGCTCATCACGTTCATTAACGGGGTGTTTCCATATTTGAAGACGCAAACCAGGATCTCGTATAAAAGACATATCATCAACCTCTATTTGCTCAACTCTTGGAATTTTTTAAGGAGGCTCTTGTTGCTGCTCATTAGAGTTTGTAATCTCAGGACGGGTACTCGTACTCATAGAAGCTGTCCCAATTTCCGATTTATCATTTTTCCGTTTATAAAACGAAAACAAATATTTCATCTTAAGGGTGGAAAATTCCTACCATGTAGTGCTTCAACAAACAAAAATAAAGGGCACACCTAATGGCCTATCACCTATAGAGCTGGAGCAGGAAAAAAGAAAAAAAAAAAAAAAAATTATTGAGGTCTGTGTATTGTCAAAGAAATGAAAAACTTTTATTGAAATTTATTTCAACTCACTCTAACTCACACACATACAAAACAAACAAATGTATGCAAATATATCATACTTTTATATTATTTTCTCATAATTTTTTCTGATTCACATAAGTTCATAACTCATGTTTTGGGTTGTGTTTCTGTTTAATACCACCATCAATAAACATTTACCTTATGAGTTATGGCTTTGTGATCTTCTATAATCATCTATGTGTTCGGGTGCACCAAACAGGGCTTTGAAATTGGAACATAAGATCATGCTAATTGCTACAGCCAATAGACATCTGGTTTGAAATTGGAACATAAGATCATGCTACAGCCAATAGACAAAGTAGATATGTGTTCGGGTACACCAAACAGGGCTCATGTATAAACTAATAAAAGCCTAAGTTTCAATTCTCCCAAAAAAATAAAAAAATCCCAAATTTAAAGTAATTGAAACAATGAAACCCTAGATTAAAGTATGCAAATATCTCTCTCTCTCTCTCTCTATATATATATTAATATATATCTATTTTTATATTTGAAAGATAGATTTAATATGCACAATTTGTCAATTTCATATACAAATTCATATATATATATATTATCTAAATTTGAGCACTTACAACTTACAAGATCATGGCCCATGTTTTCCATTCTAATCCGAGTCTTCAAGTAATCAAGTCTTCAATCTTCTGGTGACTCTGGTCCAATTCCGAAGCTCAAGTGGCTGGGTAATTCATGGGATTTAATCATTTAGTGTTTCAGTCTTCTGTATTCAAACCCTTGTGGCCTTGTATAGTTGTATCATGTATGATTTGTATGTATCAGTGAACTCATTCGTGTAGCAGAAGTATAACGCTGTGTTGAAGTCTTGAATAGTTAGGTCGATAAGGGCTAGTGCCTAGTGGGCTGGGCCATGGATTAGGAAAGTTGGACTGGGCTATAGCTGATAGGTAATAGTACTAGTAAATTTTTTTTTTTTTTTTTTGAACCTGGGCTGTAGCCCAGGTTAGCCTACAGGTGGCTCCGCCCATGGAATAAAGAAAGTTTGTTTCTTCCTTCCTAATTTATTTCCCTCTTTCTTCCTTCCTAAGGATGGCACAATTTGATCCGCTCCGCGGTTACCCGCCCCGCCCCGTTTTTGGCGATTTTTGGAGACTATTTAACTTATTTGGGCGGGAATAGTTTGATATAGTAAAAACCCGCGCGGGTCTGGTGCGGGGGCAAGGCAAGCGGGGGGAGGTCATCCCGTCCCGTTTAGATAGGCAAATTACTTGAGTATCTTTATTTCATTAATATATATATTTCTCAGTATATATATTAAGTACCATATATAACAATATTAAAATAACAAATGAATTTGATTAAAAGAAAAGTTGCAATGGTACAGAACTGAAGATGAGGAAAAAAAAAAAAAAACTATTTCAACAATAAATAAATTATGGTTTTAAATAGGGTAAAAATATTAAATGGTTGCGGAAATGGGGTGGAAAGTTCTCCCGTTTTTGCGATTTTGGACGGGGACGGAAGAGAAAATTTTAAATAGTTGCAGGGGTGGAGGAGGGGGAGGGGGAGGGTACACCTACCCAAACCCGCCCCCGTTGCCATCCCTAATTCCTACCCAACAAAGCACAAAATTCAAAGCTAAACCATTAATTCCTTTAAATGATTGAATATATAAAATCATTCAATCTAGATAGAGCGGAAGAGAACTTCAATAATAATTGAGATTTTAGTCAATTAACATGAGGCCCAATTTAGACTTCTTTTGAAGAACCTTAAGGTACTTAATCATCTCCAATACAAAGTATTATTTTTTTCACTGTATCTTCTTGCTACTCAACTTCATCATATTTATTTTGTAATTTCATTATTTTGAATGCTGAGTTTCAAATCACTATAATGGTAAAATTTCTCCCAATTTTTACTTATAAAAAAATTGGTAAAATTCACCGCTCTAATTGGTGAAATTTATAAGTAAAAGTTGTGATATTTCAAAGTAAATATAGTAAAGTTGCACTGTGAGGTACTGCAGAAAAAAAGTCAACTGTAGAGAATTTTGAGTCACTTTTGAAAGCCACGCATTAATAAGAAAGATAAAAAATTCTCTAATCATAATCAAGTTCTAGGAAGATACATGAAAAAAGTTCTCAGACTTGGGAGTTGGGACACCGGACACCCAAGATTTAAGAATTCATATGAGGAGGGGCAAATTTATATAATAGAGGTTTTTTTTTATATAATCTTAGTGAAAACAATTTCAAAATTTTATAGATGTAAATACAAAAATATATAAATTTAGGAATATAAAATATAATAATAAAAAATTTCAGTGATAGCACTCATTGAGCCCTTCACAAATCGTGCCTGCCACACCTATTGCAAATTGCAATTTGAAGAAGCCAATCCAATCAAGCTTCTCTCGTTGTCATAAACCACCAATTTGTCTAACATAGATATGTCTGTAAAAGCAATAAAGATGTTAATTCAAATCAAATCAACTCTTGCATAAAAAATTATATATATTTAATTTTAATTGTTTAATTGGAGTGGTGGACCTACTTTTTCTATAGCCCTCTTGTACTCTTTGATTGGAAAATCTTTAAATAAATAAACACATTTTGGATTTTGATCATTAGCATTTCTTACCTCCAATGATATTCAGATTTCCCAAATTTATTTCTGCTCCATTCAGAATCCCCAAACACACGTTGCCATTAGACTGTAAAGCAAGAGCTTGTCAACTGTCAAGTTATGAATGTATAACTATTCTCTCTTTAAATCATAATTCAAAGTAAAACTGGTTTCAAGATGTTCTTACAGTCACGATGAGATAATTTTCAGGTGGTAATGCGAAAGAGAAAGGAGCATTGTTGATCGTAAACCTTAATGCCAAGGGACTGAAGTAGTTTGTGACTGCTTCTATGGATCGAAAAGGCCCTGCACCTTTCCAGCAGACCGGTAATGATCCATCCTTAACTGGCTTTAAAGGCTTTGTCTTTAACTCCAGCATAATCTGAAAATACTAATTAAGAGTTAGTTTTTCTAAAGATTAAGTGGGATATGCTGTTTTGTTTTCTTTTTGGCTTCATTTGGTTATATGGAGGAAATACCAGGAAAGAAAAAAAAGATTTTTAATATATATATATATATATATATATATCTTAAAGAGTTTGAATAGCATAAAAGGATAATTTTGTAGAATTTTTTTTTTCCATAACCACCCAACTTTCTCCTGAGATATTTGCTTTGTTGAGAAAGTAATGTGTATATGAAACTTTTGATAAGAATAGTATTACAACATTATTTATTTAGATTCTTATATTCCTATAAATTTAAAAAAAAAAAAAAACAGATCTATTTATCCAATATGAATTATGTAGACCTTATGTCCTCTTTAATAAATATAAGGACAATTTAGGTAAATTATTATATTTTCTTGTACTTTTATGCTATTCTTAAAAAATTTCATGCTGACCAAACGCAAGTTAGAAAATTGATTTTTCTTTTTCACTTACACTTTCCACTATTGATTTCCATCTAACCAAACATACCGTTCACGGTTCCATCCCACCTTAGAAAGTGTATCTCTGTATGCTTGGGAATTGAGATAAGTGTAGGTACTCCCACTGTCAAAAGCTATATAAAGACTCTTGGCAACAAGAGTCTGCTCACCAAGTAGGAGGTCCACTGGTCCAGACAAGTATTGGTTCCTGAAAGAAATCACAATGAGATGAAGATCCAAAGAAACAAATTGCAATATGGAGTAGTTCAATGGGAATGCTTACTCACAATTCATTGGTTTTCATTGGTGTCCAAACAATTCCTGGAGGAATGAGACCATCTCCAAAGAAAAGAACTCCTTTCCCTTGTCTACTGAAACAATGACCAATTACATTCCGTGTTAGACGGAGACTCTGTAGCTGCCACAGAATGCTTGATTTGCCATTGGCAAGGCCAAAAACTCCATCCACCGAAGGAGTAGATGGATCGGAAAATTCCTGATCATATCCACACCTGCCGATGATTCATGAGAGAGTCAGATAGATGTGTAGAAAATTTAAATAAATGTGAATAGGCTTCCCATTGCAAATCTTACTAATTTCACACAACACACACACAAATAGAAAATAAAATAAAATCATTGTTCACTTGGAATTCTGTGGAAAACAAAGGCAAGGTAACATAGATTGTGGACATTTGAAGTATTTCCTCTTATTAATGGAAATTAAAAAGAAAACAAGAAAAAGAAAATTGCTTCTTTTTTTTGGACTTTTGAAAGTCATAAATGAATTCCCAAAGTGCTAATTGACCTGTGTCTGAAAAAAAACATAGTGATTGTTCTCGAAATTTGGCTATTGTACAGTATTGTATGAGCTGTCACACATGTTCAATTATATTTCATTATATACTAGGGTTTACTAATATTTTATGTATTCTATAGCACCTTCACCAAGCCCTCATTACCATATATAACATTACCATGTATAGGGTTTACTTGTTCTCTACTAATCTACTCATGTAGCTTCTCTTATATAAAAACCATTGCATTATTGTATTACTCACTCAATAAGATATATGTTTTCATATATTCTCTCTCAAAACATCGTATTAGGGCAAAAATCGACCCCTCTTTAATTTTGTAGACTCCGATCTTGATTCTATCTCAACGATCTCTCCTTGGTGATCTCGGTTCTCGTCTCGGCAATCTCTCTCAGATCCCTCCTCGACAATTTTTCTCGGTTTCATCTTGGCTTGATCTTGGTTATCTCATCTCGGCTCCCTCTTGCTACCATATCTCATTTATTCGGCAGCCCTCATTATGGATACCAAGGACTCTCATCTTCTTGGGTCAATCACCAACACCAAACTGAAAGGCTCGAACTACCTTTAATTCTCAAGCCATAGTGGTGTTCTTACGAGTTCGAAGAAAACTGTCCTATCTTCAATCAACAAACCCACCACTGATAAAAAGATTATTGAGGCTTAAGAGAAAGAAGATGCCCAGATTATGACTCGGTTATGGAGTAGCTTGGAGCCTAAGATCTTCAACAACGTGTCATTCCTAGGATTTGCCAAAGATATCTGGAAAAATATCACGGACATGTATTCTTCATAGAAGAATATTTCTCGTATTTATCAGTTGTACTAGGACATTCTTAATCTCTAGTAGGAAGATCGTTCTGTTGAATATTATTACTCAGAACTGAAGGGTGTGTGGGAAGAATTTAATGTCTACCAATTATTGACTATATGCGTAGAACAATAAAAACGACACATGGAGAAGTTTAGGGTGACAAAATTTTTAACTGGACTTAAACCCAAACTCACTCCGATCAGTTCGCAGATTTTGTCTAGCAAGGAAATACCCACAGCAAGAGAAATACTCTCCTAGACAATTTCTCTCGGGTTCATCTTGGCTTGATCTTGGTTATCTCATCTCGGCTCCCTCTCGCTACTACATCTGATATGTTCGGCAGCCCTCATTGTGGATACCAAGGACTCTCATCTTCTTGGGTCAATCACCAGCACCAAACTGAAAGGCTCGAACTACCTTTAATTCTCAAGCCATAGAGGTGTTCTTAAGAGTTCGAAGAAAACTGTCCTACCTTCAATTAACCAAACCCACCACTGATAAAAAGATTATTAAGGCTTGGGAGAAAGAAGATGCTCAGTTTATGACTTAGTTATGGAGTAGCTTGGAGCCTAAGATCTTCAACAACGTGTCATTCCTAGGATTTGCCAAAGATATCTGGAAAAACTATCAGGGACATATATTCTTCATAGAAGAATATTTCTCGTATTTATCAGTTGTACTAGGACATTCTTAATCTCCAGCACGAAGATCGTTCTGTTGAAGATTATTATTCGGAACTGAAGGGTATGTGGGAAGAATTTAATGTCTACCAATTATTGACTACATGCGTAGAACAATAAAAACGACACATGGAGAAGTTTAGGAAGGCAAAAATTTTATCTGGACTTAAACCCAAACTTGCTCTGATCAGTTCGCAGATTTTGTCTGGCAAGGAATACTCACAGATAGTGAGAATTTTGCTCGTGTTCGAAGATCATCTATTCATGCCTCTGTTGTGGGGTTCCACCTCGTGACTTACAAAATAAAAGAAAATAGAAATAAGGTGCACGTGGAGAGTGCACGGTTTGGTGGCCTACTGTGCACTTGGTGCTCTACGTGATTTGGGATTCGATTTTTGGTGAAATATGGTGTGTCAGCGCAATAACAATTTGTGCGGCGATTTACGACGGTGAAGGGTTACTGCACCTTCATAGGAGGAAATCTAGTAACTTGGAGGAGTAAGAAACAATCAGTTGTGGCTCGTTCTAGTACTGAAGCAGAGTATCGTGCCATGACGCACACTGCCTGTGAACTTACTTGATTGAATACTCTTTTACAGGAACTTGGGATTTCAATCCAGTACACAATTCCTCTCCATTGTGATAATCAGACAGCTATTCATATTTCTAGCAATCCAGTCTACCACGAGAGTACTAAACACATTGAAGTAGATTGTTATTTCATTCGATCTGAAGTTGATTCGAATGAGATTGTTACACATTTTGTTCTGGTAGACATCTTCACTAAGGCGCTTCCCAAGAGCTCTATTGATTCCGTATGTAGTAAGCTGAGAGTTATTGACATTTACTCTCCAGCTTGAAGGGGAGTGTTGTACAGTATTGTATGAGGTGTCACAGTGTACAGTTAGATTACATTGTATACTAGGGTTTACTAGTATTTTCCGTATGCTGTAACCGCCTTCACCTAATCCTCATTACAAAATATAGAGCATTACCATGTATATAGTTTACTTGTTCTCCACTCACCTACTCCTTTAACTTCTCCTATAAAAACACCATTATATTATTGTATTACTCACTCAATAAGATATACGTTTTCATATAATCTCTCTCTCAGCATTGACCATGATAAAAGCTAATCAAAATCACATTTAAAACAGTTATGTTTCTGATAATTGAACAGGCAATTACTCACCCAAAGGTCAGATTAATTTGTCTATTAGCAGCCACATTGAAGGTAAAGTAGTCTCTAACCAGCACACCAAGGGAAGAACCATGGTCGGCATATCCAACCTCGTAGTCACATTGATCACTGGGGCTCCTGCAGGGATGATCCGGCGGGTGGTGGACAGAGGCACATAAGGGATCCTTACAGGATACAACATTGTTGTTGGGCTTGTATGGATTGTGGGGGGCCTGTATACACAAATGCATAGAGATAGAGAGAGAAAAAATAACGAAGAGTAGTCCTCGAGTTTTCTTGTTTTAAGAAAAATGAGTGAAGAATTTACCTTGTGCAGCTTGGCACCAGGTACTGCACATTGGACCCATGTAAGATCGCTGCCGGTGTCGATATCAAGGTAGTAGGTTTTGGGTGGATTTCCTATGTTTACTGAAGTATAGAAGAACCTGCATATTGAAACAATCTACTGTTCTTTAGATTGTTAGAAGAGGCATATCATGAAAATTCTATGAATTTTGATCACCAAGGGTACAGTTCTTCAGATTTTTTATACCTTGTTAGCATAAACACAAATGATTGGAGCCCAATTTTTGTTTCCTCTTGTTTGATACATCAATGACATAAATTTGGAAGAGTTTTCTGGATACATTGAGTTTAACAAAATTTTGATTGATATACAATGCCACAAAATTGTCAAATTCAGCTATATATATAAGTTCTCTATCAATCTATAAAATGAGACTAATCATATGAATGGTGTCAATCCTTTATAACATGTGACATGAAATATTTCTGGGAAAATCATGCCATGAAATTTTCCAGGAAAGTTGAAAAAAAAAAAAATTCATAAAAGTAAAGTAAAAGGGTAAGAAAAATCCCAAAAACAAAACAATCAACAAATTATACAATCCCAAAAGATCCTAAAAATTCAATCAGTTAACAAACACAAAAACCAATGAAAGAATTTAAAGATATATAGACAAATGCAAAGAAGTACCTTGAAAGAATCCAAAAAAAAAAAAAATTAAGTACCAACATAGTCAAATCTATTCACATACCCATTAGGATAGACGTCTCCTTGAACAGGAAAAATGAAGGAGGATCCAATACGCTTGGGGGATTGGGTCTGCATTTTCGTGATGCTCTGAATCTGTTTGGCAGATGAGAAAAAGAATTGAAACATAGCAGTGACAAGTAAAGCACACAACACCCTTGATTTTGTTTGTTTTTCATTCTCACCCATCTTTGATTTGAGAAACCAGGAAAGCTCTTTTGATCTAAAATTGCTATACAGGCAAACAAATTGAAAATCTGAACTCAAGTCCACTGATTTTTGTATGTGTATATCTTTGACTCCATATAAACAGTAATTTGACTCACTCCATCTCTAACCAATTTTTTCCTTAAAAAAATAAATAAATAAATGAAGAGGAAGAAGGTAACATCTAAGGAAATGGAGGTCTTGACTCCTTGATGCATAAGGATTAGGAATTGACCCATCATATACATATATGTATATGTCTGTTTTTATATATATATGCATTTAGTTGTCAACTACTAAAACATTGGAAAATCATATTTTAGGAGTGAATCCCTCGTCTACATTTTGTTGTCTTGCTCACCAAATAGCGTGACTTCTATATTTTTATTTTATATACTAGTAATTAAAATAGAAGTATTTCCCACCTAGTGTAATGACGACCTTGCCCTCATACAACTCTTATGTGTCGTATAGGATAATTTTAATATTATATCAACTAAAATAAGAAAATGGAGAAATTATTACATTGTCTTGACCAATTATAACCCAACATGAAATAAAAAACAGTGAAAAAAGTTAACACATTTTCTTGCATGTTGGATTGTGAATGACTAGACTATATTGTTCGATACCATATAAAAAATAAAAATAAAAAATGATAAAATTGACTCAAATAAAAATTTAATGTGGCTGTTCTAAAATTCCAACTCAAACACAATAATTATTTCCATAACATTTTTTATTATATATATCGATGGCAAGAAACTCATACACACATACTTGCTCCTTTGGAGACTTAAATTCTCACCATCCATTTTGGTAGGTCGACGAGATACCACTAGGTCATAAGGCCCTTGATTATTTTTCGGGATGACAATGTGTGTTCATGAGTTATAATCATGTTGTGTTAATGTAAGGGTATTCTATTAAACAGGTAAACCCAAACATGACACATTTAATAATCGTGTTATGAACCTTCAACGCTAACCTAACATGTTTATTAAACGAGTTAACACGTTAACCCTTTATCAAAATGAGACATGTCATAATCGTAAATATTCAATCAAATAATAAATTTGAAAAAAAAAAAAATCAAATAATAAATACTTGAAAAAAATTTGTCACAATTAACCAAAATATAAAAAATAAGAAGAAAAATCATAAGGCGTAGTCAAGGTTTATGTTGAAATGACTTGACTGTCCATAATAATTGGGTTTAAACTAGGATGACAATTCGTGTTCCTGGGTCATAATTATTTCGTATCAATGTAAATGTATTATACTAAACAATTAAACCTAAACTCGACCCATTTAATAATCGTGTCAAGAACCCTCAATATTAACCCAACTTGTTTATTAAATGAGTAAACGTGTTAACCCGTTTAATGACCTGTTTATTAAAACGAGATATTTAATATTTAATCAAATAATAAATAATAGAAAAAATTTGTCACAATTAACTCAAATATTCAAAATAAGAAGAAAAATGACTTAACCCAAATATTCAAAAATAGAAAAAATTTGTTACAATTAACCCATATATTCAAAATAAGAAGAAAAATAATAGACAATTTTTATATTGAAATGACTTAACTATCCATAGTAATTGAGTTTAAATAAGTAACATATTACATAGGTCATATTTACGATTATAATATATTGAGTTAAACGGGTTGAACCCCTCAACCTTAATCTGACATGGTTAAGTAAATGGGTTAATCGTGTTAACCCATTTACGACCCGAATTCGTTTAATGTCAACCCAAACCCGCTTATCTCGTGTCGTGTTCATGTCGTGTTCGTGGGTCGTGTCGTAATTTGTCACATCTAGTTTAAACAGGTAACATTTTACATAGATCATATTTACGATTATGACATGTTGAGTTAAACAGGTATAAACGGGTTATGCGGGTTAAGCCCCTCAACCCTAACCTGACACGGTTAAGTAAATGGGTTAATTGTGTCAACCCGTTAATGATCCAAACCCGTTTAAGGTCAATCCAAACCCGCTTATCCCGTATCGTGTTCGAGTCATGTTGACAGATCGTGTCATAATTTGTCACCTATAATTATTTTCATAAGCATCCTAAAATCCTTTAAACTCAAGTACAAATTATCTTAAAATCCCACCTCATACATAATTAAATCTTATCTCTTTTTCCTATTTTATGTATAATTAGAGTAATAGAAAAATAAACTCTTTCCAATTTTTTTTTTGATCTTTTTTCTGTTGTTGGAGATTCTTTGTTTTAAAAGGCATTTTATATTTTAGTTTTAAATGAACTAGTACTTTTAATCCGTGAAATTGGTGAAGTATCGGTTTTGTATTTCTACAACTCCAAAATATATGTCAACACTCAAAAGTGGCAGCCACCTAAGCATCTATGTGGACCAATCAAAGGGTCACAAATGGATCAAAAAAATAGAGGCAAATAAGAATGAGACCTACAGTACTTGATGTGAGTAGATCAGACCATGACACTTGGATGGCTAAATGAGTTGACACTTGGATGAGATTTGTTAATGTGAGTAGATTGTAAAGTGGGCCTAAAAGTTGCTAAAATTATGGGATATAGCTACAATGGGCTGGATCTTATAGCTAATTTGTTAGTGGGCTGGCCACGTGGAGATTGGGAATCAAATAAACATTTATGATTCCTACATTAGAGATGGGCTTTGTTAGTGGGATAGTTCGAACTAAACATTGCATGCTTAGAGTTTAACCCACGTGGTATAATTTCTCCTCTTTTTACATATTGAATAACCGATATACAGTTGAACAATATCGTAAATGCCTCGATAGCTCAGTGGTAGAGATGACAATGGGACGGGTTCCTCATTTCCCATCACCATCCCTATTTTAATTCGGCACCCCCAAAACCGCTCCATAACTAATTATTTTTTTACCCTTAATCCCCATAATTGCCCCTGCTGCCGCCCCATCCTTGCTTGCCCCGCCCTACCCCATTTTAGAAGATAAGAATGGGTAGGATTTATTTAGAAGTAAATATATAATATAATATGATATACATATATATATATATATATATATATATATATGTTAAATCGGTAATTACAATAACATGGCAGGGGCTATTAGGAGTAATTCCATATATAATCGGGGTGGTTGCGTAGCGGGGTACCCCTCCCCCATCCCAAATTCGGCCGATTTTTTTTCCCAAACCCCATCCCCACCTTATTTAAATAAATGATTCTCCAAACTTGCTTTAAAAGGGGTGGGGGCGGGGCGGTTCCTCACCGGATCGGGGTAAATTATCATCCCTACCGAGTGGGTTAGTACCTCCGGTGAATTTTGGAGTGCCAAATTTCGACTCTCTGCATCTACTAATCTAACTTCTAATCCTTCTTGCATTGTACATGTGCGGAGCTCCCTGTGGGCTAACCTGGGCCATAGCCCAGGTCCAAAAAAAAAAAATTAGTATTACTAATTCTTATTAGCCATAACCCAAGCCCAGCCCAGCCCAAGCTGCCCAATCCATAATAAAACATAAATGATAAATGACTCAGCCCAGAAAACAAGCCTACAAATAAATTAGAACTAGAGGATTGAAAAAGACCTAGCGGCTCTTTGGCATGATGTGGTATTGTTTTTTTGGCTCCGCCCCTGACCTTGTAAATATATATATATATATTGCATTAATCCATATATTTGCTTGAATTATCAGGAAAAAAAAAATTCAAAATATCAGCTCATCCTAGATTTTTTTAGTCTGACCTACAATAGAACAAGTTTCGTCCGTCGCACATAGTGAGACTTCCCTCTACTTGTAATGTGATTTTGTCAAATTTTCATATATGGAGTCACCTAACTGTTTGCAAGAAAGCAATATGAAAATTATATGATACAAAATTTAGTTTTAAGTAAACTTTCGAAAAAAAAAAAATTAGTTTTAAGTAGATTACACACTTCTATCAAATTTTGTATTCTTCCTTCTTTGGCCCAAATTAGAACTTATCTTTGACTAGTACACAGTGTTTTATAGAATAGTAATATTACTATAAGGTCCACCACTCTTCTCATGACTCCTTTGTTTTTTTTTTTTTTTTTCACCATTTAACAGAGGATGATATTAGAATTATACCGTCAATATTTCATACAAAAATTCAATTACAATAAATTACACGAATCAGTCAAAGCTTTACTCAATGTTTTTTGTTTTTTTGTTTTTACCGAATTACACTGTTAATTTTGACCATCTTGTTTTATGGTATTTTGAACTGAATATATATATATGTATATATAACAACTGCAATATTGACGTCGTGATGATAGAATTTGTGCATTATTTTCTTTGTCCAAAGTAGTTAATTTAAGGAGAGCCCATGAAAAGTGCCATAGAATATATTTCATAGTAGCATTACTCAATAAGCAAATCTATATCTATATCTATATACTATTATTAAAAGTACAAAGAGTTCTTAGAGTTTCTACCCAATTTTTAGTTTCCATCCTTTTTTATTTAATTTTATAATTATATATTTAGTTATTATATTTCAAAAGAGTTTCTATAAATTTTGTACTCTTTATTATAGTTTAAAAGAATTCTTGTAAATTTTGGGCTCCTTGAAAACCTATAACAATCAAAACATATAATTTTTTTTTTCAATTATAAGTTTCTTTCACTACTCAAATTTTTGTTTCCCATTGTAGGTTCCTGTGTGAGTGTGCACTTTCAAGTTATTTTTCTTAATTCTACTCTCGTTCGAACTCTTTCTTAATAATAATTTACCATTTTCTAATCATTTTTTGAAACATATTTTTACCTTTTATAATATTATTTATTTAAAAATATATATAGAAACATACAAAAGTACAAAGAGTTTTGGATCATTTTCTTTTATTTTTTATAATATATTTTGTTTTTTTTTTTTTTTTTTATAAAATTATTTACTTCATTGATTGCAAATATAAAAAATGAAAATTAAATAACTAATTATTATTACTTATTAATAAATACTATATATACACTTATTAATTTTTATTTAGT